ATCTCTGTCTTTTCTCTGGCAGAAATTTATAGTCTGATTTGTGTCTGTACTGCTATTTCTTCATAAGGGCTTGTTTTTATCACTTACCATTCTCCCTATTCCTACCTCACTGCTTATTTCAGCCTTCAATTCACCAGTCTGGACAAGGGTATGCTCTATTGCGTTTATAGCATATTTATTATTACCATTAGGTGATCCTAGTGGTTCTCATTCTATACCCTATTTATCATTTGCTCCCTCTTTTTCCATTTTTATCCCTGTTTTTTTTATTTTATATTTTGTATGTATGACATTTTCTTATTATATTCGATTAAAGGTTAAGTTTTAGCATTTATTCTAGGTAGGGGCTCCCTATTTGGTTGACCTTGTGGGTTAGGGCAGGTAGGGTGTAGGTGTTCTTTTCTCCCCCCACCCTCTTTCCTTTTTCCCATGGTCTTCCTTCTATTAACACATATTCTTCTATTAACACATATGTGAGGGTTATCCCCTAAATCAGGTTGCCCCGGACACATAACCTTTTAGGTTACTAGCTGCTCTGTATACCTAAGCAATCAGCACAGGGAGATGGTTAACATAGGGGCTGATGGAGCTGCAGCTCCAGGCCCATGCCCATGAAGTAGGCCCATTGATTTTAAAAAACAAAAAAAACATTTAAAAAAAAATACTCTTCACTTGCTCTTGCTTAAGTATGGAAACTTAAGAGGGATATAGGGGAAAACTGGTGTGGACTGGCTGACAATGAAACTAGTTAAGGTATAGCTGCCATTGCCACTTTGCTGTTTCAGTCTCTCTAGCACTGTGGCATGTTCCCTGTCTTCTACACTCAATACATCCACCTTGCTTTGTCCCAGACTATATACTAGGAGCTTCTGCCTGCTATATAGGAAGATAAGGAGAGGAGTGAACAAGTGAGTGCTAGAGGACAGTCCTTAGAAAGCGTGGAGCATCATTAGACACATTTATGCCAAGCTCCGGGCACTGTCTGTATAACACACCCTTAGTTGGCCATGATTGGCAGGCAGCCTGAAATGCATTCACCCCCAGGCTGGCCTTCTAATTCATCGGGCAGACATGCCACCTTTTTTGGGCATGTTCGTCCCTTTGGGTGGTGCTAGTTATGCAGTGGCCCACCCTTTTACCCCACCCAAGGATGTCCTGTTTCACCAGGCACTGTTGTTAGGGGGTATGGATTTACTTGAAAGCGAGAGATTAGCGTAAGGTATGTATATTTTTTCTTATAGCTATATCCTGTGAGTTTCCCTCTAGCACCACCTCCAGATACATGACATGTATCTACATTTACTGTATTTTCAGACCTTACAGACACATTAGTGCTAAAGATGGGAGATAAATAAATGTAATATTAAAAATCAGAGCAAGGGATTATTCCCTTTTCAAAGTGGCTGGATCAGGAGCCCGAAGATACCAGGCTGGTTACCTGATGTAGGTATCAGTATTTTGTAGCAAAGGATAATAGAATGTGGTGCATACAGAATGAAGGACAGTTGGGGTATAATATACAGAGATAGAGGGACACATGGAGGAACAAATATGGAAAATAGGGGTGAGGTGAAGAATATAACAAGAAGGAGCTAAACAAGAAGCATATGGAGTGAGGAACAGAAGTGTAGAAAAGGGATATGTGAAGAGATACAAGGGGTCAGAAGAGGAAGAAGTTCACACGTAGGGAGTAATGGAGGATAAGAATATGAGGATGTATGTGAGTTTTATTACTGCGGTTTGGGGTTATGCACATCTAGTCAATGAATATTACATTGATTAGTCCCTCAGCAATACAATGGACACAGGGTTTTTTCCTAAACTCTGAATTGTAACAAATTAAAATCTCGCCGAATGTTATGACTATGGCTGAGTTCCAAATTCACCGAATCAGCTATGTTTGACATAAACTGGCAATTCATATTTCAACATGCTACAATTTGCAGTTTAGTAAATAACATTGTTGGTAATGTCAGTATATTAGTCCCCTAAATACCGTGTTTGCAACTACATTTTGTCAAGCTATTCCTTTACACCAGTTCCTTCATATCTGGTCTAATAATAGTCAGTTACACTAGCTAATTCCAAATGGAAGACTTTTATTCCAATTACATGTGAGCATTCAGAGAAGCGTATGAAATACAAGACCCAATCCTATATTTAATATCTGAGAGCATTCATGCATGAGAGAGTGCTTTCTGCTCTTTCTGCTTGAGTGCCTCTGTGAAGATGTGATCTTCTTGCAGGACTCCCAACTGCTCTAATTTCAGTGGTACAGTGATCTCAGTGTCATGTCCCTCTGGCCCGACTAAGTTTTTTGCATTTTGAAGAATTGGATGACCAGCCAATTCTATGGGCCATTTCTTCGGGCTGGCCCATTACCTTTCTGGATGCGATTTGCGTCACTGATCTGCACTCTTTAACCCTGCCCACAGGTGTCCTGCTTCACAATGATGTCAATGTTGGCAGTTAATCTCTTGGTAGAATAGAGGGAGAGACATAGAGGATTAATGTTTCTTATATATCAACTTTCCCTAATATAAAAATACCAAGACATTGGAAACAATCCAAAGGCAATTGTGTCCTGATTTAATGTCATTATACGCTATCCAGATTCAGCAGATTTAATTCTTTATAATGGTGTTGTGAAGAAAATAAAATGTCACTTTTACCTGTCCATATGTTATCTGATTGGATAGTGTTGATTATTTTTTTTTTTCTTTGAATGGTGTGGAGAGGAGAATGTTTGGCTGGCCTGATGTTGAAGATCCCAGCCTCATTGTCTGTGGGTGATGTATATGTTGACACTTTATAAATGCTGATAATAATACTACTGCTACTACTAATAATAATCATCACTGTTGCTTCTTGCTTCTGTCTGGATGAGTATTGGTATTACAACAGGTATTGACCAAGTTCCACTTTTCTGTGTAACCTGTTGTTTAATGACCCAACAATCTTTAAATACTGAACCATACGCTTTCCTGGAAAATAGTTCATAATTTGTTTTTTATAACAGCTGGTAATGGATTTTGTTTGTTTGGTTTTTTTTTTATATGCAAACGGCATTCTTAAACTTCTGGTGCCCCTCTCAGAAATGTGTTCTCGGTCTGCGCATGGCTGCCTTTGGACACACATAATCACCATGCTGTGTGTGGAGATAACAGATATTGTCCAATATGCCCAGAACTAATATTAAAGGACAACTTTCACATAAACACTATTTTTAAACATAATGGTAATTTCATCAAGTTTTAAAAGGAATTTGATTTTGTTAAATTGAGTAAATGTAAAAAATTAGAGAATCTCATCCCTACATTTAGTATAGGATCCTTGAGTGATATACATACACCTTGGATCAGACAGTGTTTGAAAACCTCTATGTAGTCTCTATGGTCTGCCCTGCAAGTTACCATATAACAGGGTACAACCTAAAAAGACAAAAAATAACAAATCATAGTATAACCTGTATAAGTAACTGAAAAAAATAGAAGAAAAATTATCCCACTCACGTGGTGCTGAGCCATTTAAAGTGGGCTCAGACTATCAGGCCCAGCCAATGAGCATCGTCTAAATGTAGACAAAAAAATTATTGCAAATGCAGAAGTGTAGCTTTCATAATATCAATATTCTTAGTAGGGATCTGGACCATGTGAGCTTTAAGAACCATCAGTGTGCTTATTTTTGTTTCAAAACATGTAAAGTACAACTCACAGAACTAGGGAATGGCAAATGGGACATGCAGGCACCATAGACACTACAGTAGAATGTGGTGGTTATAGTTCCTTGAACGCCTCTTGTATTCCACAGTTATTTAACTGAAGCACTCATTGTTTCCCTTGCTCTTGGCCTTGCTGTGTTTGTGGCTGGAATTACTGCACAGGCAATGACAGAGTGGCAATAAACACATCAGTGCAAGCCGCTAAAAGCTCCTGTTACATGTACCTGTTGACACAGTGTGCAGAAAGCAAACAGATGTGTGTATACAGCAGTACATCAAGGATGGAATAACTGGGTCACTAAGCAAGGGCAGCATACTTTGATAACACAATGTACGTGTTTTGCTGTGACACCTTGGCAGAATTTTTTTTTTTATTAAGTATGCTTCTGGTTCTCCTATAATTGAGTTGACTAACACAAAGATAATCTCATTGTGCATTGTGCAAATTGATCCATGCTGGAATGCACCAGTAAACAGGTACAAGACACCAACATTTTTTTTTTGTTAAACTGATGATGGCAGAATCCAAGTTACTTATGGCCCATGCTTATTTTAACTGATGAATCTACCCTTGTCAGATAGGGATTAAAACTCCCACGGCATTCCAGGCAGGTTACCAGATTGCCTCCTGCATCATTCTTTACATAGGGATGGTAAATGAGGGAAAGCAACCATGGTTCCAGGGCCTCTGTCTAATCCTTGGACCATAGGCAGCTGCCTAAGTTCACCTTATGACCCTCACCATGACCACTTAATTACCAACGTGGCCATTCAGTATAGCATATCATAGTACAAGGCACTATACTTGATTTCCACCCATTGTACAGCGCTACGGAATTTGTTGGCGCTATATAAATAATAAAATAATAATAATAATAATAATAATAATAATAATTTCCATGTTGGTAATTAAAATAAAGTGAACACCTACGATGTAAATAGTAAATGGACTATTAAGCCTATTCTTAGCTTTTCTCATTTCTGTGTAGTCTCACTAGGGTCCTTTTTCTCATTCATTAAGGCAGCCATAAATGTTTATCAATATCAGTGTTTAAGTATTTAAAGGAACACTCCAAACACAATGACCTCTATTGCTCACTATAGTGGGTATAATGCCAGGAATGCCCTCCTGGTGCCCCCCTAACCTTCCCCCCCACCCCCCCACCAATGTAAGTAGTGAAATAGTTTGTAGTACAGGACTTTACTTATTTGCTTAAACTTGTTAAGGCAGCCACAATTTAAATCAGTATTGTATTTAAAAAAACATTTGCAGCACCGTATCACAGTTGACATAGTTAATTCCCTAACACTCCTCCATTTGTAAGCAGTCAAATATTTGATCCTCTTGGGGTCCACCAAGCTTTGCATCCTACTACAAGATGCGGACACCCCAAGCAGGACTATTTACCAGATCTTCTGGGCTAATCCCGATAGACATTTTCTATAAGTATTCCTAAATCATAGCAGGTTTGCCATTCTAGATAAGAAGTCGTGTGTAAGAAAATGACAGAAAAAAGCATTCTTACTTTACAGTGACTTTTACTAATTCGAAAGCAGGCATGTTATTTGTGCAAATGTATTTATGTAAGTAAATTGGTTGTGTGTTTGTGTGTGTTTTATACATTTTATATGTAAGTAGGTTGTGATAGAACTTTCTTATATTGGTCCATAAACTGTCACTAAATAAATAGACACTTTTACTTTTTTTTTTTTTTTATAGACGTGTTTGAAGAGGCATTCTATTGTTTACAGAATAACAGTACAATTGAAAGAGGTTTTCTTAGACAAACCAATTGGTAATAGAGCATTGAAAAACTAACAATTTTATGAAAATTATATTGATACAGAAACTACTCTACACTACTGAAGGCTATGATTAAAGATAAATATAACAGTTAAAAAATGAATGACAGTTTCCTTTAAGCTGTGTTCTGAATACTTTCATTATTTAAATAGATTCCAGTGATTATGTTGTGTTGCGTGTAATATGTATTGTGACCATTCATGCACAAATACGTGAAACATTTTTTTTTTCACTTAGTTATACACAATGTTTATATGTTATACAAAATAATAAAGTATGGTTTAAATAAGCTTTGCAATAATATCCCCAGTACTCTTTACAGTTGTTGTAGATTTATTTTCTTGACAAAGTGCATGTGATTAAACACTACTAAAGTGCAATATTATAGAGTATAATCAATATACAGGTAGTGGGCAAAATAATGGAAACACCAAATTGATATAGGGTTTTGATGTTGTAACTAACAGTATCATTCAATAAAGTGAGAATTCAAAGTGAATTTTAAATTTAAGATCAAAATAACCGAAACTGAAAAATTCTCTAAGTTTGCTATGCTTTCATTTCGTGTACTTTGGCTTTAAATGTGCTATTCCCTTTGAATTCTCAACTTCGTAAATAGTCATGTCAATGTTGCAAAGGTAAGTCATCGTAAGTTGATTGCCCATTGCAAATGTACCTCACTTATAAAATGTTCTGACAATTAGCTGTTCGATTTATGACTTTTTACAATACAGCATGAGATAATTAATATAATTTAAACAGAGTTAAATTGTAAATGATTCATGTGCAAGTTCATTCTACACAAACATTGCAAAATGATTAAATATGTCATGGTTCCTTGCTATCTCTCAAAGATAGATCGACACGCCACAAAGAACATCATGTGGAGAGCTTTACTTATTTTAAAGGGATACGATCACTTCTCTAGAAAACAGAATGTTAAATAAAGTAGTGAAAATAACATAGAACTTGTGTTAACTTTTTATAATACTCCATTTTCTTTTATAAAAAAAAATAAGATCAAAATCTAGTTTTAGTCTAGGCACAGCCAAGGCACACATTCATTGGAGGAGAAGTAATTTATACATTGTTTGTGTTCTCTCTTCTCTCTCTATTATGTTTGTATGCTGACTGTTGGATACAAAGGGCAGCCATTATAAGAATGTAACAATGATTGACAGGGAACTAAGATGGAGGTGCTCAGTTCCCAGATAGCAAAGTGTAGATTTCAACATTCAATTTGAATTTTCAGATATATTTGTTAACTATATGGGGGATAAGTAAACATAATATTAAAAATAATAAAAAGTGGCAGTTTTCCTTTATAGAAAGGGTTGCCATTCCAAAATGTATCCAATGTATAAACGCACATAGCATGATGTAGATCAGGGGTTCCCAACCCAGTCCTCAAGTACCCCCTACCAGTCCAAGATTTAGGGATAACTCTGTTGTGTCTAAACTTCTAAAGTGTCTTTTTATTTTTCTAAAAACACCTTAGACATCAATTGGGTAATCCCTGAATCCTGGACTGTTAGGGGGTACTTAAGGACTTGGTTGGGAACCACTGATGTAGACTATCAAAACCTGGACCCATAAGCAGTAAAGAAAATTAATATGGTCTAATGCAATGCTTTTTCATCTTAATTTCTATATTTGAACAGGTTTCAGAATGACAGAAGGTGTGTTCAACCCACAATGGCCTCACAATGATGTGCAACAATCTTAATAGAGTGATTATATCTATCTGTTAGACAAGGGAAATTAGATAATTTTAAACTACTAGGGGCACCTAAAAGTGCAAATACTGTTTCTTGTAGACGTTTTCCATGTTGAAAATAGCCTCATACTGCTAAACAAATTAAAGTCTGTGTTCTAGAGCATAAGGATTAGTGTCTTTCAAATCGGCATTCCAGTTCTGGAGCAGAGATATAGAAGACTTTTTTTGGAGGCCGACTCATTTTTTACCCTAGACAGTAATATTTTGTAGGTGTTTCCATTATTTTTTTTTGACCCACCACAGGTGTGTGTTTGTACGCACAAACATATGGTAGGAACACATCATTATATCACAACACAGAATATAATAGCATAAAACAAATCCCACAGAAGGTGCTCAGCACCACCAAAGAAAGCCTGCTTGTCTTCTTAACATTCCGGTGTATTTGGTCTTAATAAGAATGCAGAATATGGTGGTTTGTTAAAGACAATCATGATGCTTCTCTAGCATCTAAAATTAGTTAATTCTTTATTTTTTAATAATCTGAATTTGGCATATTTACTGCTGGCATAAGTTCTGCAATGCAGGCAGTTCCTTGGAAATAGAAAAACAAAACAAACAAAAAACAACAAAAAAATCAACGGTGTTGTAGAAGTGTAATTCTTCAGTATTTGTTATATTACATCGTATTTTTATTTTAGTCACAAAAAATGTTTGTTAAATTACTTTCTTTGCAAAAAAGAAAAATTAATAATGGTTAGGAATTATTGCTTAGTATAAATTTAATTGGTCTCAATTCTTGTTTTGGATTGTTAGTCTCTTCCTTTTAAAGCATTTCACACTTTACAGCCAGTGCAATGGAAAAACAGCTTCAAGAAGCATTGTATAAAGCATGTTGAGTATTTGAGGCATGAAGCATTTTGTTGAAAATTATGGAAAGAAAAACAGTCTCTGGCTCTTAACCTTTTCATAAAAAGTTTGCATTTGGATCATTCAGTTCATAATTCTAGACCATTTAGATTTGCAGAAAAAAAACAACAAGACAACTAAATAGTTGAATCCCTATTTTCTGCCGCTTCTTATCTGTTTTTGAACTCCTATAGTAAACAAGCATTTGACTCTCATCATCAGTTCTTTGGGTTAGTTAGTTCCTGACTTGCAGAGCCTACAATCATACATATGTGAATAGTTGCTTATCACGAATTGCCCAAGGACTTTTACAAAGTGCGTCTTTTCATTTCAAAGGTAGGTTGCTTGGTTACGTCAGATATTCATAACTTGAAATACCATCATTGATACCAGTCTTAGCAACAGGCAATAAGCATTAAATAGGCTCACCAGCCTCACTTGAAATAGACATAATAACCTATACAGAATAATTGTTCACATTCTGCTCTTCCTTCATCTGATTCATAGATTCCTCAAATATTTTTTTTAATTAATTAACTGGAAAGTACATTAGTTTTTGCTTTAGTCTTGATAATTTGTACCAGCTTAAAATACTAGAAAAGTCATAGAATGCCGAGAGTCATTTTGTTAGTAGAAAAATGAATTTTACATTGTCTGTTCAATTCTTTAAGGATTAATATTTCCCAGAGTCAAAAATGTTTATATCCACAAACACTGCAGTTTCAGACATTTACAAGCTTTCTGATTTACAAGTAACTTATGCCCAGCATGTTTTCTTTCTCAGATGCCCCTAACTCTTCCGGAAGAGCTTTTTGCCCAGACGTTCCCACTTCTTGTGCCTGATCCTCTGTCACTACCATTTCTCCATTTTCATCTCTAGGCTGCATTCTCAAAGTCTTTACTTCCTGAGAAATGCCACTAACTCTGCTGAGTTCACCATGTGCCCCTTCATTACCGGCTCTCAATACTCCATCACCCACCTTCACAGAGGTCCTACAGAGAACACGCCGCAAACCTCTTTGAAAAGGACGAGCAAGAAGAGCATAGATAATAGGGTTTAGGCAGCTGTTTGCATAAGAAAGAGCCACCACAAATGTGTAGAGCCCATATAACTTAGGACTTTCTGGTAGTGGCCACAATAAATTTATGATGTTCAAAGCATAAAAGGGGAACCAGCACAGAAAGAAAGCAGTTACTGTAAGGGCCACCATTTTGGTTACTTTGCGCTCTGGCCCTTGCCTCCGGTTAGGGGCCACTCTGACTCGTTGTCCAGATGATCTCAGTTGGGCCACAATTAGTATATGACAGATGCAGATCACGAGTAATGGACAGAAGAAGCCTAGTGCAGCAGTATATATAATGAAACCAGTTCTCCAGGCATGGGCTGGCTCTGGCCAGGCAATGTGGCAAGTTCCAGAATTCCCTGGGACGCCAGAGAAGAAAACCACTGGCAGTACAACCAGGAAAGAGAGGATCCACACTGTTACATTTACACATTTGGCCACTCTAGGTCTTCTCCACTTTGCTGATTGGACTGGTCGAACTACAGCTAGATATCTATCCAAACTTAATACAGTTAGACAAAATATGCTAGTAAATTGATTGACTGCATCCAGAGTCATTACTATACGACATACTGGAGAGCCAAAAGGCCAATAGGACAGAGCATTCTGGGCAGCCAGAAATGGTAGGCCTAACATAAAAAGATCATCTGCTAGGGCCAAATTTAGGATGTACAGAGCAGTGACTGAGTTCTGTCCAGCAGGACTGCGCCATGCCAAGTAAATAACTAGAGTGTTGCCCCATAGCCCTACTGCACATACTACCAGATAGACAAGTGGAATGATGAGTCCTGGGGCAGCAAGGCTTTGGGGAGCTGAAGCATTGGTATACAAGGTTGTGTTGATTTCAGCAAAAGAGCTTGCAAGGAGAGTTGTTGGAGAAGTTGGGGTCATTTCTCAGTGAAAGGTTAAAATGTTACTTATTTGACGCACACTTTCTCTGCTCCTGTAAAGGCTTTCTTTGGTTGAAAAACTATTTGGAGGTTTTCTAATTCCATGTTTGGTCTGAATGTCTTTGAAACAAGTCTCATGTTTTCCGCCACTGTTATATATAGCCTTTTACTCTCTGTTGTAGATTTTGTAATATTGAAGTTTTTTTTTTGTTAGACTTACAATGTCCTTGTCGAAAGACAATTCTTTAATTCCTCTCCATGCCCCTTTGGTATGGACTTTCTTTGGTTATGTATGTGTCTATCAACTTATATATTTGATGACGATTTTCAGCTTGTTGTTATCAAATTGCCTATCAAAAGATCTTATGTAAAATCATACGGTAAACAATTTGACTTATTAAGGCTGTCTGTAATGCATTGGCAGTGCACCTGAAGTATTTTCTATCATTGATGCTGGTCCTTTGTATGAATAAGCAGAATAGTGATTCTCTCCAACACAATGTTAAAAAGCCGCTGTGTTCTCATAGCTTTGGTAACTGAATAAAGTAAGGTTCATTGTGCAGCCGGTATTTAATAGGCTCTATATTCCAGAGAGCGTGTAAAAAATTGTATCTGTTAAAGAAGAGAACAAAATCATATTTATTGAGAAAAAAAGATATGGCAGATACCTTATGATAAATATTTATAACTCCTACATTATTCTGTATTGCTTATTGGGGGCTTTTCACTGAGGTGGGAATTGTGGAGAATTGACAAAGTGATAACACATTTAAATAACCACTCCACACCCATAAAGCACTTCAACTATGGATTATCTTAGGATCTCAATGACAGTTTATAAAAGTGGCAATTTGTATTAGAAATCAGCACTTTTATAAATAATTTCTTTCTTTTTCCGTCAGCTACCCTAGGCCAACTAAATTGGCAGGTGCACTCAACTCGAGCCTTCCCCCTGCATACTTCAGAACATTGTCCAGTTTGCTGCTTGTGTGTGTATAAACATGCCAACATGCACGCACACAGTAAATGGGCACACACGAGCAGGCACGTGAGTGCATGCAGGCTTTTCAATAAGCGAGGCTTCTCAGTTAGCAAGTGAATCTTAACATTTGCATTTTTCTTATAATTTCTCCACAATTCCCAGTTTAGAGAATAATCAGTATGTACTTAGATATTATTATTTTATTATTTATACAGCACTATCCGATTCAGTAGCGCTGTACAATGGGTAAGAGATTATACACAAATATTTTGGTTAATTTCTTGCACAGGGTGAAAAAGGAATTTGGTATGGTTTACCAGAGCTTAGTCCGTCTCCTAACACATATCCTTTAATTCACCACCTGTTTATGTTATTAATAAAATCATTGTTTGAATGACACGCTAAAATAAATTTTAAGTCCATTTGACATTTTTGTTTAGTTGTGTTATTTAAATTGTCTATATATTGCTTTATGGATTTTTTAGGATTGTGCTGAAGTTTTAGTAAATTCTAACACAGACAATATCCCCTTTTCATAAAGATTCTACTGCTATGGGACGACATTGTCACCCTATGATGCTCTCTAAGTACCAAAACAATTTTTGCTTTATTAAGTGGTTTTGGTGCCTAGATCAATCCACTGCAGTTTCACTTCTCAATTCTCCACCTTTTAAAACTAATATTATTTTGTTTATGCAGCCCTAACCACACCTCCCCTGGGTGTGATTCACACATCCTTTCTACACATTTCCTAAAAAAAAGAGTCTAATTTTTTTTAGCTTCCCTTATTGATCAATTAAAATATCTAATCCCTTGCTCTATTAGAGCCTGCAACAATCTCTTATGTGTGATAAATGTTCAGATAACAGAAAAGATGATAAAAACACACTGTACTGTAGGATCTGATTGAAAAGTAAATCATTTATTTTCATGGGGGCTGTGTGAGTAATGATTTTCCAATTGGTGTTTTTGTGTGTTTCTGAAGGTGTACTTGTATTTGTAATTCTGAAGGTGCACTTCTATATCTGTCTGTGTGTGTTTATTTATGTGTGGGTGTGTTTCTAACTCTGTGTGTCTATGTAAGTGAATGCATGTCTGGGCATTGTGTACAAAAAAAGAAATAGAAAAAGAAAACATGCACAAACAGGAAAGGATAGTAACAAGAGTGGGAAAAAATATACATATTTAGCCCACAAAGCACTTTACCGGCACATTATATGTCCCATGCTGAGTTAATAGTCTGCGGAGTTCAGGTAACTTACAACTACTGGAAAATGGTATGAGAAAAACTGAAGGAACTGTACCCATAGTCTCTGCTCACCATAACCACTACAGTGAGCTGTATTGATTATAGTGCTTAGATAGTCTCAAGGTTTACATTTTTGTGTGATGTAGTGTCCGCAGGAGAATCTGCCCTGGGTTCCACTGCATTCACACACATTCACAAAAACTTCATGCACACACCTCTGTATTCACACTGACACTTAAGTAAATTCACTCCAATATTCACACACATACACACACACCTTTTTACCTTTTTTAAAAATTAAAAATCTACACTAAATATTCAATATACTTATCCATTCTACGTGCATGGTTTAATTTTACAGTTAACCTATATAAACTGCTCTTTGTGGCATTTTAAGTTTCTATGGTGAGTATAACAGTATAGCGCTCTCTGGACATTAATGGGTTAAAAAGAATTCGGCTTCCTTTTCTGACAAATTACTTTTGAATGCTTAGTGGACCAAGATTTAACACCTTAAATATGAACGCCTCTTGGGCATTGAAGGCAGCCTTCATAATGCCAATAGCAGTTGGAGTGGGTCCTTGTGCATTAAAATGTTAAATAATTAAAATTGACACTTTTTTTGAAAACAAGGTTAGATGAAGAATATGTTTTTTTCCCCTCAGTTAAAAACGCAGCCTGTCACCAAACAGGCAATACAGGGATTGCAATATTAGTCATTTGGCAGTGAAGGGGTTTCTCTTTTTTAGCTTATCTTTTATCAGCTGAATGTAATGCTGGCCCCTAGTGCCTGTGCCATTGTGTGACCAGGAGTTGATAGTTAGCTTCTTGACTTTCCCTTAACTCCAACACTACAGGACTTGGCAGAAAGATACTTAGCATATCGGTGTACATGGCATTGACTTAAACTCACTGAAGCAGTCTAAGGAGAACACAACAAAGACACACAGGCAGAGATGCTTTCAGAGACAGAGAGACACTAATGAGCAGAGAATGCTAAATAAAAGCCTCATGCAGTCATAATCAAGCACTGTTTCTGAAACAAACACAATGCGTATAAAACATGAATAGTGACGCACAGAGTGCAACAGTAGCATGACTGCAAAGAGGCACTGACACACACAAACTCAAACAGGGACCTTTGGAGATTTATGATTAGACAATAAAACAGCAACGCACAAACATGCAGGGATTAAAGCTAAGTAACGCAATATGACAAGCAAATATTAGGGTGCAATTAATGAACACATAGAGGGGTAAGCACACATAGCCAAATCCATGGAATTACATAGAAATGGAAGGTTACATGCAAACATTAACAAAAAACCCAGGCAAGGAGTGAAACTCATTAGCGACAGAAGGTGAAATATACAGTGATAAATGTGAAACAGCAAGAGAAGCGACAACGGTGACTCAGAGATAGGATATACGGACAAATTGACATACTGGCACGATCAAGACATACATTGACAATCTAGAAATAAACCCACTGAGCACCCACAATGGCAGATGCACATTTGGTAGAACGTTTACACAGAGACAAAATGCGGAAGATTTATCAAAGTAAAACAGGTGCAATTCTTGGTGCTAAGTGCTAAACGTTGAGAAACATTCTCTTGGTTTCCATGGTAATTGCTCCATATTTAGCACATTGCCTCAGAATAGCACCTGTTTTCACCTTTATAAATCACTGTCAAAATGACAGACAAAATAAACATTTTAACATTCAGCGATTGTTGTGAATGATGATGAACAGAGCATCACAGACAGAAGGTTTGTGACTGCAAACCTCTTTTTTTGTGTGTAGGTAAAAATATAGTGCCTAGTGCAGGTGAGTGTGATAGACATGTGCAGACATCTCCAATAATACATTTCTCCCAGACAAGAGTCACACAGGTACAGTGAGTGTTTTCACTCCATAGGTACATACCTAGTTAATGATACTTACCACTGTGTTAGACGTATGCACATTATCAATCAGTTAATTAGGGATTTCCCTGTTGATCAGATTTGTCCTGCTTGAGTCTGTTTCACAGGTACAGGTTAGTCTCTCGGGTACATGCTGTTTCCTTATTCCTATAACTAACACTACTGTGTTCTCTCTTTTACCTAGTCCCTCTCTCCTTCTGCATCTCTATCTCGCCGTATTAAGGATTTGCTGTCAGTGGCACACAGGTTGCAAACCAATCAGTGACTAGGAAGGTGGAGAGAGGGGGAGTGAGTGGGAGTGAGGGAAAGAGAGATCTATAAATATATATAGAGAGAGGGATGGACAGAGAAAAAAAGAATGGAAAAAATAAAACAGAGCAAAATGCAGAAAGGAAATGCATAGATGGTGTATGGGGAGCCTTTAACACTTTCTTTAATGGTGATATCAACTGTTTCAGTGTTTGCATATCAATATATATTATACATGACCCATAAAGAGCTCCACAAGTAAGGAATCATGGAATATTTCGCTTTCCCAAGTGGGACATGGGGATAACACCTGTATTTTAAACAGTTAACCCCTTTAGGAATTCAGAGGCTCTTGGATAAATAATCTTGCATTTTATGAAAACTAATATCGTAGCAGCCTAAGCTTGCAAAGAGTTAATGGCAGTCATGCTGTAACCCCCCCCCCCACCCCTCCTCACTGCGTCATACCTCATACTCATTCTCCCCCTCTGTCTCATTCATTTTTCCGCATGCATCTATTCTGCCCCATTCATTTCTTTTCTACTGCTAACACTCACATACACACATGCACACACACGCACATTCCAGAACACAAAGTCCCTCACAATTCTGAAGATGCATTCCATTACATTCAGTCTCCCGAAACTCATAGGCACCACATCTTTTAATAAATACCTTCTGTATGGGCAGCGTTTGAAAACATGGAGAGATTCACATTAGTGACATTTCTGTACCAGTAAATTGAAGGTGACACAATTATGAAAATTAAATGAGATATATACAGGATTACTAAATATTTATTTATAAGTTTAAACTAATTCCAGGACTACAGACAACAATAGAATTAAAAAATAATTATAATGAATGTAAAGCAAACAAACAATATTTCATGATAAGCAACGTGTGGGGAAGCAGCTGAAAAAAATGGGCATCTGACAAAATAATTGGGTAAAGATGGCAGTTTATGGCACAGAGAAACACGTGCTCGTACTCTTCTGCTGTTAACGGTTGAAGAATCCTCTTCTGATATCCTGTATAAGATATGAGAACAACCATTAGTGAGGTGGATGGTAATCCAGTGTTAGAGTTAAAAAGTTCTGTTTGTTTTCAACTATACCGTTTATACAGATTTATTCACTGAATTAAAACATTGTTGGGAAATCAAAATTAAAATTTAAGACCAAAATAGGTTAACTGGAAAAAGTCTTCAAATCTGCTATGCTACCAATTCGCCCACTAATTTGAAATTCCTGTTGCGTCTCCAACAATTCTCATAATAGAGAAGAACCCTGGTCATCAACAAGAAAAATGACTGATAATACACATTTTTTTGTCATGATTATTGACGTTTTGAGTTTTATTAGACCGGAAGTAAGGAACAGCTCGACTATGCTACTAGAAAAATAAATAAAAACACAGTCTATAAGACGGTTGAAAGCTAGAGATGTGCACTTAGCAGGGATTATAAATGATATATTTATGTCTCATCCATGCAAGCTTATTTTGTAGAAATATAAATTAAGGCAGTTTGCGGATTACCCAATGATTCACAAGCTAGTACCATATTATCTGACAGTCATTGAACCAAACGATATTAATGCGATCCACATTTTAGCTGCTAATCTCTGAAAGTGGTTCACTTACCACCACGTTCATCATCAGCGTATAATCGGCTCTCTACTCTATATGAATTGACATCCTCGCCCACTTCAAGAGGGTCATGCAAAAGCACCTGTGATAGTGTATAGCTATAAGCATGGACACGCATTTTCAGTTATATGGATAAGTCAGGTAATTGAAGGTTTTTAATGATAAGAACACTCCTTGCCGGTCTAGTGGAAAGGGTAGAAACGTTCAGTAAGATTATACCAGACTGTAATTGACAGGAGAATCCGACTGATAAATAGCCATGGATAGAGAATAATTTAAGTGAGAAAGAACAGAGTTTGTGGTGATCAGTTGTGAGCATCCACAGAAAAATGTTAGTTCTTAGTGTGTTCTTCAGAGCCCGGTCATTTATATTCTTCAGAAATCAAAGTGTATATTTTGGCATAGGATGTAAAAATATGCAGCAAAACAGAAGCCCATATAGGATATAAAGAAACTTGTGAATTGTGAATTGCACGCACTTTAAAGACTATACTATAAGCACCATAACAACTTTAGCATAATGTAGTGGTTTTGGTGTATAGATCATGCCACTGCAGTCTCATGGTCAATTATCTGCTATTTAGGAGTTAAGGAGTTAAATCACTTTGTTTATGTAGTCCTAACTACACTTCCCCTAACTGTGATCTAGATAGTATCCATATGCATTTCCTGTAAAGAGAGAATCAGTGTTTAAAATTCATTTATTTCAGGGTTTGTTTAATTTAGAATTTCTTATCTCCTGCTCTATTAATATCCTATTACAGCCTACAGATGCCTTCTTTGTGTGATTAAAGTCCAATCAAAAGAGCAGGAGACAAAATGTCTAAACTAAACACACTGTGCTGTCACATCTGACTGAAAATGCATGTTGGCAGAATTTGTCACATGTTTCATGTTGGCAGTATGTGTCACAGCCAGGAGAGTTGTGGCTTGTTATGCATAAACAGAAACAACACTGATTTAACTCCTAAAAGGGCAGAGAATTGAGAAGGAAGACTGCAGGTGTATGATCTATACACCCAAACTGCTTCACTAAGCAAACACTGTTTTGGTGCTTAGAGTATTCCTTTAATATGGTGTATCGAGAAATTCTTAAAATACATATTTGTAAATGAGCTCAATACTTTTAATTAAGAGAAGATGAAGGGCACCTGGATGTTACCACTTAATCACCTTAAAACTAAGCAAAAATCATGACAAAGCAGGGTGAAAAAACCCAGAAACATACTTTGTTATGCAGATAGTCAGATTGGTATTAAACTAATGGCAATAAAAATGATTTGCCTGTAATCACCTAAAAAACGATTCATAGTTGTGGAGTCTAAACCTGGCAAACTAGTGTTATTGTAAGAGCAAATTGCAAGATGTTGAGAGATATTTTATTGGTTTCCATTTGAATTGATCTGTTTTTAGCACTCCCCCCAGAATATCATTTGGCTTTATCTAGATCTAGCCTTAATACATTGCTCATTGTAGAATGTCTCCTTGTCTCTTCTTGCTATGCTTTGGAATTCTGCATTCAGTTGGACAAATATTTTCCGATCTCCACTACCTTTCGCTTTCCTTCTTTCCTGTTCTATTTTTAAAGCCTCATCAGATAGCCAGTTTGCCTTCTTAGATTTCTTTCTTTTGGGGGTATTTTTTCTTGCAGTTTCCTGTATAATATTGCAAATTTTGGTCCAAAGTTCTTCAGGCATTCTATCGTCCATGTCTAGTCCCTCAAATCTATTCTTTACTTCCACTGCATATTCACAAGGGATATTATTTATGTTGTATCTGATTGGTCTGATGGTTTTCCCTCTTTTCTTCAGTTTAATTCTGAACTTTGCAATGAGAAGCTCATGGTCCGAGCCACAGTCAGCTCCAGGTCTTGTCTTTGCTGACTGTATAGAGCTCCTCCATCTTTGGCTGCAAAGTATATAGTCATTCTAATTTCTGTATTGTCCATCTGGTGATGTCCGTGTGTAGAGTTGTCTCAGAGGCTGTTGGAAGAGGGTGTTTGCTATGACCAGAGAATTATCTTGACAGAATTCTACTAATCTCTGACGTGCTTCATTTTGAACTCCAAGGCCAAACTTGACAGTTATTCCAGGTGTCTTTTGGTTCCCTACTTTAGCATTCCAGTCTCCTATGAGGATAGTAACATCTTTTCTTGGTGTTATACCTATCATTTGTTGAATATCGTCATAAACTGGACAATTTCAGCCTATTTAGCATCCATGGTTGGAGTATAAACTTGGATGACTGTGATGTTAAATGGCTTGCCTTGAATTCAAATTAAAATCATTCTGTCATTTATTGGGTTGTAGCCAAGCACTGCTTTGCCCACTCGATGATTTACTATGATGGCCACTCCATTTCTTCTGTGGGATTCTTGATGTGAAGATGTGATGGTTGTCTGATATGAAATGTCCCAATCCAGTCCATTTGAGTTTACTAATTCCCAGGATATCGATGTTTAACCTTGTCATCTCATGTTTGATCACATCCAATTTGCCTTGGTTCATAGTTCAAACATTCCAGGTTTGTTTTTTAAATTGTTCTTTGCAGCAGACTTTCCTTTCCCCTCCAAACACATCCACAATTGGATGTCCTCTCGGCTTTGGCCTAATCACTTCATTAGATCTGGTGCTACTCGTACTTGCCCTCTGCTCTTCCTCAGTAATGTGTAAGGCACCTTCTCACCTGAGGGGCTCATCTTCCAGTGCCATATCGTAATGTCTCTGGTTGTGCTTGTCCTTATAGTTATCTTAGAAAAGTTACTGGAGTGGGTTGCTAGTTCCTTCTCCAGTGGATCTATTCAAGAAAATTGGGGAACTTAAAGTTACCTTTCATGCCAAAATGGATGTGATAAAAGACAAAAAAATGGCAGGGACTTAACAGAAGAAGACCAGATAAAGAAGAGATGACAGGAATACACTGATGATCTATACTGGAAGGATCTTAACAGCAGTGATGACCCTCAATAGTTGGTCAGATGAGATGAAACCAGAAATATTGGAGAGCGAAGTGAGATGGGCTCTAGGATGTCTTGCAGATAACAAGGCTGCAAGAGTTGATGAAATCCCAATTGAACTATTCAAAATTCTGCAAGATGATGCTGTGAAATTTCTGCTTGCCTTATGCCAACAAATGTGGAAAACTCAACAGCAGCCAAAAGACTGGAAACGGTCAGTCTACATCCCAATCCCAAAAAAAGGCAATGCCAAAGAGTGCTTCAATTATCGAACAATTGCACTAATTTCACATGCCAGCAAGCTAAGATCCTACAAGCTCGACTTCCCGGTCCAAACAATATATGGACCGGAATTACCATATGTACAAGCTGGGTTGTGCAAAGGACGAGGCACTAGAGATCAAATTGCAAATGTACAATGGATAATAGAAAAAGCCAGAGAGTTCCAGAAAAACATCTACTTCTGCTTCATAGATTATTCTAAAGCCTTTGACTGTGTGGATCAAAACAACATGTGGCAAGTTCTTAAAGAGATGGGAGTACCAGATCATCTCATCCGCCTCCTGAGGAATCTGTATGTGGACCAAGAAGCCACCGTCAGAACCGATCATGGGACAACAGAATGGTTCAAGATCGGGAAAGGAGTGCGACAAGGTTGTATATTGTCAACTTATTTATTCAACTTATATGCGGAATACATAATGTGTAATGCTGGGCTGGATGAATCCAAAGCTGGAAACAATATTTCAGGAAGAAATATCAACAACCTCAGATATGCGGATGGTACTACTCTGATGGATGAAAGTGAAGAAGAACTAAAGCACCTGTTGATAAGTTTTAAAGAAGAGAGTGCAAAAGCTGGCTTGCTGCTTAACGTTAAAAAGACTAAGATCATGGCAAACAGCAATCTTAGTTCTTGGCAAATAGATGGGGAAGAAGTGGAGGCAGTGACAGATTTTATTTTCCTGGGATCCAAGATCTCCTTAGATTGTGACTGTAGTCATGAAATTAAAAGACGTTTGCTTCTGGGGGGGAAAGCTATGGACAAGCTGATAAAAACTAAACATATTACACTATCAACAAAGGTCTGCATAGTCAGAGCTATAGTATTCTCAGTAGTAACATACGGATGTGAGAGCTGGACTATAAAGAAGGCTGAGCGTCACAGAATTGATGCCTTTGAACTATGGTGTTTGAAAATGCTTAGAATCCCTTGGATTGCAAGAAGATCCAATAAATCTGTACTACAGGAAATCAAAACAAACTGTTCACTGGAAGCTATGATCATGAGGCTGAAGCTCAAATATTTTGGCCATATAATGAGAAGGCATGATTCTCTAGAGAAGACTCTGATGTTGGCAAAGATTGAAGGCACACGAAGAAGGGGATAACAGAGACGGAGATGGATAGATGAGGTCACTGAAGCCATGAACATGAAGTTGTTGGAGCTCATAGGGGCAGTGGCTGACAGATGTACCTGGCGTGCTATGGTCTATATGGTCACGGAGAGTCGGACACGACTGAACGACTAAACAACAACAAGCATTAATACAAGTATCACAACAGAAGGGTATAACCTCAAACTGGAGGCAGGAAAATGGAAAACACAATGAATTGTTGTCTATGCATGGGATAACCTTCCGGCAAAGGTGGTAGAGATTGATCTAGTTGAAAAAAAATACACCGCTGCCTGGGAGTGAACATATTTGCTTAAACAAAGTAAGTAAATAATATAGTAACGCTGTATTTAAACAGGAAATATAAAACCATGGGCAATGTGACCTAAGTTAAAAGATAATTCTTAAAGGCGGTCATTATTCTTTATCTGATTGACATAGTACATCAGTAGAGGTGGGAAAGCCACGGAGGATACAATTATTCCATTTTTATATAAGAGCTTTCCTTGATAAGGTATAATGGCTCCTGCTAGTTTTCTGCTCGTACACCAATTTCTTTGACTGTTTCCAGCCCCACTTAGGGATTTCTACATGCTGAGAGCAAGAGAGAAATCAGTGCAAAAGCTCAACACAGTATAAATAAATGCACTTTTCTGAATTATAGTACCAATAAAAATAAATGCACAGCTACAAACAGCAATGGAAGAGTCTAGTTGTTAAAGCCTGGATACAGCACATCAGCAGATGGTGCAGGTAGATTGGAAATATATATTTTTTAAACTGGTGATGCACTCCAAAATGTCTTCCATACTTCATGCCACATAAACTGATATTTAAGTGAATTTCAAATTTAAGTTCAACGTCGACAACAATTCTTTTAATTTGGCTACTCTGGACTCAAATTAGAAATTCACCTTGAATTCTCACTTTGGTAAAAAACCTTGATAGGCTTTATATTGAAGATGTTACAGTACAGAATATCACCACACTAATTAAAAATGTTAAAACATTTTTGTCAAGAAGTGATTTTGTAGTTGATTAATAATGCATTTAAACATTTGGGACATTTTTAAACTAGTTGATAAAGCACGTACATGATTAACCAATAGAGTTGGTTAATACTAGGATCATGGATAAAGCACATGAACATATATTGCATGCTAAGAAATAAATTATAAAGATTTTTACAAAAATATTGCTTTATTGGTCATATAAAGTAATATGACCTCCTGATTATTAGACATATGGGCTTCTTAAGCAAATGACATGCAAAACCACATGATTTATTGAATTCTCCTGAGAAAAAGTCTGAATACAGTCCATAACATTGCTCCACACACAAAAGTTTAATATCTTTTGAATAGGTGGCTTAAGGGATGAAAATGTTATACTTTATTTTTCTGTGTGCACGGAAAGGAAATGTCCACTAAACCATGTGACATATGGGGATCTGTATTTCAACACAAACTTTTACAATTGCAAATGATTTTGCTTTTTTTTTTTTAAATCCTCTATTTTTGTTGTGCAAACGTTTGACAGACAATTTAATTATGCCACAACAGCAAATGCAGGCATTTCAAGATAAATAATACTGTGGCATGTAATAGTGCTGTACATTTTTAAACTAATAAACAGGCTGATACAAGTTATGTCAGATAAAGTGTAGGCAACGAGAGTAAATGAGACATATTTTATAAATTGAGACATATTTTGTAGGCTGACATTAACGTAGGCAAAGAAAAGAAAATAGTATAACACGCAAAACTATAGTTAGTTCTGTAGCTTAGTTTCCGCTGCGTACTATTCTCAGTGTTGGAGCATATGAAACAAACATATTTTAAGGTAATGGTTAGACTAGCATGCTGAATGTGTGAATTTTATTAATTTATTTTTCATGGCATTGCAACCCAATATTACCCATAGCAATTATGTAATTGAGTAATGACATATATTTAATCAGTAGTGTAAAAATGCACACTTATGCAACTGAAGGATATATTTCAGTTAACTGGTTCAACATGTCCAACTTGATTTGCATTGTTTTGTTTTGAACAAACATGAAAACTTACCTACCTATGGAAGTGTATAAAGTACATATTCTAACCAACAATTTCAGAGATGTTTTTTGAAGAATGTTGCACAATCCAATATGGCTGTGAAATCATGCTGCCAATTATCTTCACTTTAGCAAATCAGAATCAAAGCCACAGCATAACCTAGACCAGGTATAGGCAACCTTCGGCACTCCAGATGTTGTGGACTACATCCCCCATAATGCTCTTACACCCATAATGCTGGCAAATCATCATGGGAGGTGTAGTCCAAAACATCTGGAGTGCCGAAGGTTGCCTATGCCTGACGTAGACCATTGACCAGTTTGTACATCTGAAGCATAAATAGTTCTGTTGAAGGAGATATTTGAATATAATGCATAATTGGTTGCCAAAGTCAAGAGGGCTTCCAGATTATGCAGTGTATGACATTTGTGTTGCAGAGTATGTAGTATAACATAGGTCTCTACCATCATACCAACTTTCATGAGTTTTTGATTAGTTGTTTGTTTTTTATAGGCATTTGGAAAGAGTGTTTCGAATAATTATATTAACAAAAATAAAAATAATTCTAATAACAGTTTAGACAGAAAAACGATAGACGTTTAGACACCTAATTAAAGAGGATCACTTGTAGTTTCAATCCAATATTTAACATCAGAATTCGCATAATCAGAAAGAAAGAAGGCGCCACCTGGTGCAAAAAAACAGGTTGCAGGAATGTGACAAAAAAGAATACAAATGCCTTAGCAAGCAAAAGTTTCTGTAAATAATAGATTGAAAAGGCTAAAAAAAACATCAGAGAAGAGTTGTGAAGACAACTTGGATAGGAACCTCAGCCATCAACTAGAAGGTCTCTGTTAGGGAACTGTCCTTTAAGTACTCTAAGGCCTCAATTTGATATTGTTGGACAAGCTTTACACATTTTTTATATTTTTGGATAAACTTTTCAAATTGTTTTTCAACACATATAAAAAATATTTCATGTATATAAAACATTTGAATACATAAACATTAGTAAAATATTACAACATTGGAATGTAATTCTTAATATTAAATACATTTAAAAGTTTATCCGAAAATATTGAATCATTTGGAAAACATATCTAACATTATTAAATCAAGGCCTAATTCCGTTATATAACTACAGCCACTTTAGTTTTTCTGGTAATGGAGTCCTGAACAGAAAATAACATATAAACTAAAGCCTAAAGTTTTAGAAATGAAACAAACAAATATAATGGGCCACTTGGTTTATATTTGCCATCAAACTGTGTGGCATGACCGTAGGAAGACGCTAACATTGACGCTATTCTGTACACTGTATGTTGCATATCTTGCCATCTAACTTAAAGAATGAAAAAAAAAATATTTGAAGATCTGTAATGCAGGTTTTAAGGACAAATAGCCCATTTAAACAACCAGCAAGATATGGCAAACACATGTTGACATAAGAGCAAATGTGAGAATTTCCAAAGCAGCAAAACCTAATGAACCACTTGGAGGCAATATTCACTGAGATACACGAACACAAGGAAGAAAAAAATTAAGTAATCCTGTTTTACAAAGATTGAATTGCGAGCAGCTGACAGATATTCAATAAGAGATAAAGCTGATCTACTTTGTAGTACAGGACATACATGTAAAAGAGAGATCAGGAGGAAATGGTGTGTTTAGTAAAGTGAAATGGCCTGGGAATTGGTCATCACGAAACTACTATATTATCCACCCTTCCCTTCCAAGATGGAAAACATAGGAAAAGGGCATTTGTGATGGTAATTCGTGTTTTTGTTTTTTTTATCACAATGCATGTAAGCACACTGTATCTGTAAGGGTTCATATGCGCTGGATTCTTTGCACACTACATTTTATTGGTACAAATCCATTATAACTTAAATGCAGCATTTTTGAAGGCACTGCTGTTTTAAAAAAATGAATCCATCCTATTGTTTTATTGTTTTATGCAAAAGAATAAAATATACGTTAAACCTGGTATCCCAGTACTCTATCTTGAATTTGAAGTATTGATTATTGCTGACGCTTGACTACTGTCACTGATAAGCGACTGCAAATAAAGCAGGATACAGGCTTTGTTAAAAAATTTTTTTTTTAAAACACCTCTAGAAGCAAAAACACCCGACAAAGTGCTTAAAATGCGCCTGCAATCCAAGAATGACATGGTGGCACATCGTAGATAATAAAAAATCATCTCAACAATGTTCAAGTGACAGCGTTACCATGGTATATTTCAAGATCCCATGTAGCAATCAGATCTACCAAAATGTGACAGTAGAAACCCATATTTAAGACTCTGCTCCTGTCAAAGGTAGTTTGCAATATAAAACACATTTACCAACCACTTTGCTGGCACAGTAATAAGCACTTTTTATTTGCAATGAGAAGTATATCTTAATAATTCGATAGGAAATGCTTTTTTTTATAGTTAAAAATGTATTTTTGTGTACAGCATAAATGTCAAACTTGCGTCCCACAACTAATATGTTTGCGGCCCGCAGGCCGCTAGGGAGTGCTGAGTGTAAGCTCTCCCTGCACAGTAACCGCAGTGATGCCAGGAGCCGGAAAATGACATCACTCCGGCTCCCGGCATCACTCTGCGGCGCACGAGGGAGCTGAGCAGGGAGAGCTCAAAAACAATGCTCCCTCGCTGCCTTTCAGCCCTCCCCCTGCCTGCCTGAATGTACACCTGCCCAGCAGCCCCACTAGACACCAGGTAAGAAATCCACCCAGCTCTCCCAAGGTAGGGAGGCTGGGTGGATTTAAATTAAAATAATAATTTTAAAAAAGTGTTGGGAAGAAATGTGTGTTAGTGTGTGTGTATTGCTGTCTGTGTGTGTATATTGCTGTCTCTCTGTGTGTATTGGTGTCTCTTTGTGTGTATTGCTGTCTGTGTACATGGCTGTCTGTGTGTGTGTGTGTGTGTGT